GTAACCAGTGTGTATCGGGCGTCTTGGTCAGATTGCATGCCGAAGGGGTGAGCAGGTGATTGTTATTGACTGGCGACGATTGGAACATGACACAGAGACATGAGCAGTCTGGATACAGCCTGAGGGGAGTTGCGGTCACAGGTCGGAGCATGTGCGTACTCTGAACGGGGCGTCGGCGCCGTTCTCGCGGTGCTTCGGGTTGCTATGACTTGGATGAGCTGATCTCTGCGCTGGACGTCCGCCGGAAGAAGCTTGTGTAAAACCGGAACACGAAATAGGTGTAGGTCGCGCGTTGATGTTGCGCCGACATCTTGCCGATTTCAGCGTGAAAGGATGCCGAGGAGATGTTTGAATGTCTCGGTTGTACGAGAGCTTCATAGAGTATCCTAATTGTCAAGTACTGTTGAAGGCGGAATGCAGCATCTCCGCCGGTGACAGTACGGCGGTGGCTCAAACCTCCGCAGTAGAGCTCGCTACTTCATCTGCACATCTCTGTTCAAAGAGTGTGCCACCGACCAGTTGGAGGCCAACGAGCGATCCTCCTGCATGAGACCGCGGTGGCTTAGGAACTCAGTGAATACTTTCTCCCGTTTGATTGTGACACTCACATCAAGCTCAGGGCGACTGGATGGCGTTGGTCAATTACTTTACTGCGACCTGTAAGAAACGCCATCGATTCATTAGGGTGTATGGGCAACCTGGAAATTTGGCCAGAAAACTCTAAATCCGCGCTTCTGATTGGAGCGGAGCAGTTTATCCGGCCAAATTTCTGAACTGCCCATACACCCTATTCCGAATCCAAACAGTGCTAGCCTGCATAGGGTAGGGTATTTCAGGACTGTAAAAGCAAACACCCTTTCTCGTAATGCATATCTTATGTCGTGGAGATCAGCTGAGGTAGGGAATAATCATGTCACAATCGGTTTTTGTGGATATGAACAGCGCTCACCACATGTGGGGCCACGGTAAGAGATTCAGATGGTTGCGGTAGTATTGACACGTAGATATAATTGGTTACCTCTGGAAGAGATAATCAGTTATGTACAACATGTGCCAAACCAAGTGTCGTCATCCCCTTAGAAAACCTTGTACCAGCCTGACGTAGGAAGACTTCGTCGCGGATATGTTCGCGGATTGCGGTCACCACAACGAGACCGTGCGGCGTGGCGGTTGACCAGACTGAGTACAGAGTCTAACCGCTGGTCGCCGTCAACAGACGCTGTCCCAGACCAGCTTTGACGCCAAGCGAGCAGTTGGGCTCCGAATATATTGTTTCCCACAGTGCTCTCTGCTGAGTCTGCTCGCAGAATTCGCTGAGTCTTTGTTCAAACCTTTGCAACGAGGCTTTGACCATCTCCGGCTTCCGAGGCCAAAGTGACCTGCGCACTCAACCACTTCATCAATCAGCTGACGTAGTACTCCCACTACTGAAACTCGCGCAACCTTAGTCGAGAACAACATGGGTTGTCCCAGATTGCGATGGCTGAGATAGCACACCACTCCGCTACGACACACAGTTGAGTCCGAGAGCGTAGTTCGTGCTTGAAGGCGACGAAGGTTTACGTACTGCAAGGTAAAACTTGCACCCATCGTATCTCGATATTCTTGCAGTACTAACGACGTTTTCTCTCAGTGCTTCGGGCAATAGAGTGCCAGCGTGGACCGGGTGCACATCACCAGCAAGTTCCGCGCTTCACATGTGCTGGCCTGAGAGCTGGGGTCCATGACGCAGTTTCCGTTCATGGCAGTTCGAAGAAATGTCTCGATAAAGATCCGTCTCGGGCCTGACAGTCCATGAGACGCCATGCGCGATCTTGGGAGTCTTTGCGTTCTAAGTTGCACGGTTTGTCCAGGTCAGGTCTAGCATCCGCAAGAACCGCTAAGTATAGACGACAGAACGATCTGCGGCGGCTTTCACTACATGCACATAACATGTGCTGTGTGCTGACCAGTGGCTTACACCGCCGCGATCTTCAGCCACAAGTGGTTTGCCACCTCGATAAACTCTACCCTCGTTCCCCCGTCATCGGCCATAGGTGCTCCGTACGCATTACGACACGATCTCATCCCAACTCAGCTGAGCCACTATCACGTATCTGCTCATACTGCTAGTCTGATGATGTATTATCATAGACATTCGCGAATTTGGTAGGTGCTACGTCTGACTCGGACCCAAGAACACCTCCACTGGAGCGCCCGACTATACCATGGCCGCGTATGATGCAATCTCAACATACGCCGGGCGTTCCGCAACTTCGTCGGGTTGGTCGTTGCCACTCGTAAATTTCCCAGCTGCCCTGCGCAATAATGGTGTAGGGTTGGACAGCCAAGGCAAGTAAGGAAATCTTAGATCTCCTGCGCGGGACCTGAACTCACTTACCTCCGAATACGCAAACCTTAGCTTCTGGATATAAAACCACTGCTTTGCTTGCAACATGCTTTCTCCATCTCGTCTTCGTTGTGACGACTCGCGCCATGTTCTCCTCTTTCTCCCTCGGCACTATTCCTTTCGTGTATGGGCTGCTAACTCTCGTAGCCCTGCGCGTGGTTTACTCGCGATGGATCCGAAACAGGTTATTTCGACGACCACCCGGTCCCAATCCCGTTCCCTTTTTGGGCAACATACACCAACTCCCCATGGACTATCAAGAACGAACCATTCTTGAGTGGGGGAAGAGATTTGGTGAGCTGTGTCTGCACAAACTTCCTATTCTTCGGTCGCTGATGTTGGGACATTGGTGGCAGGCGGCGTTGTCTATGCTCGCTTCTTCCAGACGCACACAATTATGATCAATACACTCGAAGTTGCCCAAGACCTAATGGAGAAACGCAGTGCAAACTACTCTGACAGACCCCCCTTCATTCTCCACTCCGAACTGTGCGTTGAACTCATTCTCTTCTTTCAACCTGTCTTCCTTTGTCATCCCAATGACCGATCGCCCTCGGTGTTCCTCACTGACTGACTCATCGCTTTACAGAATGGGATGGAAGTCAATGCTCATTCATATGAGATACGGAGACAGGTTCCGTACAGGCCGCAGATGGACGCACGATGCTTTCTCATCCAAGACCGCACTAAAGGCCTACGTCCCACTCCAGCTGCGAGAGACGTACATCATGCTCGCGGGGCTGATTGACGCGCCGCAAGATTTTGTGGCGCACTTCGCAAGGTGAGCCTTCGAGCCTAGATTCGTGGCACCGCTGGATTTCAGCTCAGGATGAAAGAGACGCTAATTCCGACTCTCATTGACTGTCCTCAGGTTCACCGCTGCCACGATCGCTGAAATTGCATACGGACATACGGTTACCTCCTTGGAGGATCCTTACATTCACATGGCCGACAAGGCCGCAGGTGCTACTGTCGAAGCAGGAAGCCCTGCGAGCATGTTGGTCGACTTCATCCCGATCTGTGAGTCCACTTTAGATTCGTCCCGATCTATGGTGAGTCCCTGGCGCTGACGACGGGGCTTCTTTCACAGTGAAATACTACCCAACTTGGTTGCCCGGCGCTGGGTGGAAGCGTAAAGCGCTTGCTGTACGTGAGCTGGGCAAACAAATGAACGACTACCCCTACAACATGGTGAAGAGCAAGATGGTGGGTCTTGTCCGATATATCGGAGAGATTGGGTGCTTATGTGTACCTTTTTTTGTCTTGTCGGGTCGTTATAGGCCGCTGGCACTGCTCGCCCGTCATTCGTGTCCAACATCATTGAGCAACTCACGAGTCAAAAGGGTCATATGACCCCAGAAGAAGAAGAGCTGCTCAAATGCACAGCAGGCACGCTGTACGGTGGTAAGCCGCTTTCTTTCGCATTCACGCTAAAGCCGGCTCATGGATTGTCCTGCACAGCTGGAACAGAGACTGTAGGGTAACATTCTACTTTTTCCATTGCCCTACTAATCCGGCGTTCATTTTAGTCCCAGAATGTTTTCACGGCGTTCGTCCTCGCAATGGTCCGGTACCCTCACATTTTCAAGAAGGCGCGCGAGGAGATGGATCGTGTGGTCGGCACCGATCGTCTGCCTGACTTCAATGATAGAGACTCGCTGCCGTATCTTGAGTGTGTTATCAGAGAAGTTTTGAGGTAAGCTGTGTTCTTACACTCTAGTGTCGTTCCGATCGTGACGAAACTTGGGATGCAGATGGCACGTTCCGACGCCTCTAGGTAAGCTCCGTACATACGTCTCGTGCGCCACAGTTGCTTACGTCTGACGATCACAGGCGTACCTCATTACTCTGCCAAAGACGACGAGTACAATGGCTCGGTGATTCCCGCCAACTCCCTCGTCATCGCCAACCTTTGGTACGTAGTGATTTTTCGATTTCCAGGGAAGATTGGCGGTCTGACTGTGTGGTGCACACAGGGCCATATCACACGACCCCACTCATTTCCCCAACCCGCACGAGTTTATTCCCGAACGATGGGAGACCATGGACAAGACTAAAATTGAAGCCGTGCATCCCAAGAACTATGTTTTTGGCTTTGGTCGGCGGTACGTCTGTGAGGCTGGCATTTTTGCTACCACATGCTCATGCCCGTCCGCAGAATGTGCCCTGCGAAGAACTTCGCGGACGCCTCGGCATACATTGTTCTGGCCAATCTCGTTGCCACGATGGATATCACGAGAGCGGTCGATGCGCACGGTCGCGAGATCATTCCAGAGCACGCTTATAAGTCTGGTTTCGTGCAGTGAGTCGCTCAACTCGTTACATCTGAACGGCCTACAACTCACGTTTTTGCAGCCACTTGCTTCCGTTTGAATGTAACATTCGTCCTCGGTCGTCTCATGTTGCCAAGTGGATTGCTCAATTGGCTGCCAGCAGCTATTGATGAATGCATCCCTGTTACTTATGTACTTACAATCTTGTACATATTTCTTGCTGTAAGCGAACGATGTGATACAGCTCCGGCAACGTCGCTCGGGTGTGACTTCGCGTTGAATTGACGCAAAAAGTAGACTCACGCAAAAATAAGTAAGCTGCTGAAGCGATAAAAGAATGGACGCACTGGGAATTGAACCCAGCACCCCCCGCAAACAACGGAACTCGATGCTAAGCGGATGTGATAACCAACTACACCATGCGCCCGGTGAAAGCCAGCGCTCTTTGGCCTTTGTGACTCGCCCATACCAGTGCCTCTTACGACCCCGCAGACTCTACCTTTCAATATTTCAATTCGACTTGCTTTCTCGTTTCTCGACTCTCACCGCAGAACACTCGGAACGCACTCTACAGACTTGGGAAAGTCGCGATAATACCGGATCGGTACTCGTCACTATCACAACGCTCCTTCTACTGCGACTTTGCTCATCTCTGAGGACGATGCCCTCTGCAAAACGGGCTGCCTCTCCTCTCCTAGTGGCAAGACCCAGCCCATATCACGCCTCTGTTACGCTGTTCTCTAATGCTTCTAGTCTCATCACTGTCGATGCGGACGCCTCTCCACGCCGTTCCAAGCGCGTCAAAGTCGACGTGAAAGTCGAGGATGAAGATTCACTTCCGGAGACGCGTCCGGCGAAGAAGGCAAGGACCAAACTCGCGCCGAGAGCATCTACTTCCACTGTCAAGCTAGAAGAGGCAGAGGGCGTGAAGTCGTCACGGGCCAAGGTCAAACGCGAAACTTCTGCATCAGCGTCCCCACGAAAGCAGAAAGCAATACCACAGTCGTTGGACACCCCTCACCCGGCTCCTCCGAATTGGCGAGACACCTATGACACGATCAAGAGGATGCGGTCGAAGATTGTAGCACCGGTGGATACCATGGGGTGTGATCAGGCACAGAACAAGGAAACAGAGCCTCAGGTGCGTACGGTCCTAATTATGGTCCTCATCTTGTCCTCACTCGCAGTCTATTTGACATGACAGAACCGACGTTTCGCCACCCTCGTCTCGTTGATGCTCTCTTCCCAGACCAAGGACGAAGTCACCGACGCCGCAGTTGCAAAACTCAGGGAAGCACTCGGGGGCAGTATCACGGTCGGCGCTGTCCTCGCTGCTGACGAATCTGCCATCTCAGAAGCCATTGCGAAGGTGGGGTTCTGGCGAAGGAAGACGGGGTGAGTCATTGTAGTCTATTTGACGTGGACGCTGGATCTAATGGTACGATAGTTATATCAAGCAGACGGCGCAGCATTTGCAGGACGACTTTGATTCTGACGTGCCGAAGACCGTCGACGAGCTGTGTTCTCTCCCTGGGGTAGGACCTAAGATGGCATTTCTTGCACTTCAGGTCGCTTGGAATATGTACGTCCTTCTCTCGCTTCTGTTAGATGCTCTTTCAATGACGGTACACGTATAGCAATGTGGGCATTGGCGTCGACGTTCACGTACACCGCATCACGAATAGACTAGGCTGGCATAAACCTCCGACGAAGACCCCGGAGCAGACGCGTCTGAACTTACAATCGTGGCTGCCCACTGAACTTCATCCCGACATCAACCATATGCTCGTTGGATTTGGTCAGGTAAAGCTCCTCGTCTCCAAAGTTCTATGCAAGGACCTAATTCATAGCCAGGTGGTGTGTCTCCCAGTCGGCCCGCGCTGTGGTGAATGCGAGCTCAGTGATGGCCGTTGTCCTAGTGCGTCGAAGACCGTGGTCAAGACCTCGACTCGGAAGGTCACATCTCGACGTATGGCTGGACCCAAAGTTGAGATTGAGGTCGAAGACGTCAAGACTGAGGAAGTGAAGATCACTGCACCCTCAGACGAACCATTGTCTCCACTTTCAGACGCTTCAGGTGCTTGAACATCATACTTTATTATCCTCATTGCTTTCCACTTGCTGTTCTACATTTGCTATCGTTATGCTCTATCTAGATGCTCTCCGTACATACACATAATTCAGCTTCTTGTTCTTCTTGCTTTCCCACCGTCCGCGCGTTACAGCAACCCGATCGCCATATCCCAGAACCCTTTCTCCAAACGCGTACATCGACCCCAAATGGTGCACCATTCCTCAAACCGTTTCTGTGAGGGAGGGTCTTCCGCCGCCATGGCCTCTATCACCTCTGCAGCGCTTTCCGTCAGCTCAGGGTTTTCTAACCAACAAACACCAGCACACGTACCCAGTCCAGTCTTGACAGCGCCTTGGTAGTCTTCACCGGAGTATGATTCGATCCATGCCAGGTACGGATTCCCCTCGAGGACCACCCACGAGTTCGCCTTGGCCGCTTCCTTCTTCAACCACAAGCCCACCTCGCCGTACCCTAGGAGACACGCTGCCACCGCCATCAACAACGCGCTTGTGTCACCTGCACAACATACATAGGCCACAGGACGTCAGCGCAAGCTTACCATCGAGCAGAATAGAGTAGAAGGACGGACCTCGCAACCCTACGTCCATGATGAACGCCCCGTACGCCGTCGTAGCAGGAGACTCTGCCGTTGCCTCGAGGTCTGCCTCGGAGATGCCCCATTTGGCGCAGAAGGCTTTGTGGTTGGATACTTCGTGGATGACGTTGAGGATCGTTTGAGTCGCGGAAGCGATGCCGGTGAATGTGGTTGTTTTGGCTGCGAGGAGTCTAGAGTGAGAAGTCGGAAAGTTAGTCAGAAGGAGGACGCAGGATGGAGATGGAATATGGTCACCCGTATGCTCTGGCGTAGTACTTGAGGTACAGGTAGTCTTGTCTGCGTAAGACTCGGTAAGCTGCTGAGCTTGAACAATGCAACGTATTCCTCACTTGATGAAATGCAAGAAACACGCCCGGTCCAGCTTCCCCTTGGCCAATTCGACCACAAACTCATGCTGCACGTACGCTTTCCACACCTCCGCGTTCGACTCGATCAACAATCGCGTGAACGGATGAGGAACACTTGGCGTAGGTCTGTTCATGCAAAGCTGAAATCAGCGAGTGATGCTAAGATCAAATGGAGTAGAGGTGAGCTTACGGAGGGATCAATCGTGGCATGATGGAATGAACATGGTTGAGCGGGCCGTTTCCTTTGCCTAGTGGGATGGCCGTCTCGATTCCGAGATGTGTGTATTGTGTGGCTTGGCGGGTAGCTTCGACAACTGGAGAACGCAACGGGTAACGTACGCGTCAAACTAATGGGATTATAGCATGAGAAGAGAAAAGCACTCACGATCCGCCCCTCTACTCAGCGCACATACTAACGCAGCCGAAAGCGTGCACCCTGTACCATGCGTGCTGGTAGAATCAACCCTCGGCCTCACGAACAGCGTTGTTTGCTTCCCATCATACAATACGTCCACCACTAACGGGATCTTGCTCACATCCTGCTCGACGATCTGCAAGATTTCCATATTCTCACCAAGCAAGCCTCCACGCACGACACTGATACTGCCATCGCCTTTCTTGGCGACGACGGCATCGACGTCTGCGATGGAAGTGGTGACGTGCCCGCCTTTCAACAAGACAGCTTTGGGGCTCAGCGCGAGGAGGTGCTTTGCCGCGATAAGCATGTCTTCAAGCGACGAGATCGGCGCGGTCGGGTGTTGGCCTTTGTGTGAAAGGATGAGCTCTGCTTCGGATTTGTTCGGCGTGATAAGCGAGGCGAGAGGGAAGAGCTCTTCGATCATGCTCTCGACTGCGTCTGGTTTGAGCAAGGTGTGCCCGGAAGTGGAAACGCAGACGGGATCGCACACAAGAGGCGGGAACGTCGAGGTGTAGTGCGATTTGAGACTTTGTACGATAGCGCGGATAGCGTTCGTGTCGTAGAGCATGCCCGTCTTGATTGCGCGGACGTCGATGTCCTCAAGAACGCTTCGTATCTATCCAATAGATCGGATGAGCCTTGAGGTAAGATGAGAAGAGGGTTGTTGTAGCGAACTTGCTGTTGTATGAATTCCGCCGGGCTGGGGTGTACGGCTTGGACACCTGTCGTATTTTGCGCTACGAGCGCAGTGATCACGCTCGTTCCATAACATCGATGTGCGGTAAACGTCTTGAGGTCGGCCTAACAAGACAATTTGTACGATGGTCAGTCATCGCGAGGCACAATGCGAGGAAACTTACTTGAATTCCAGCACCTCCACTTGGATCTGTTCCAGCTATGGTGAGCACCACAGGATGCTCAACTGTGATCGCTCCCATTGCGGTCGACGTCACCACCGGTGAGGTCGAGACCATTCGTCGTGAAAAGTTGCTACGAGTCTACGATTCTCGCGATGCACTGGCAACCTGTAATTAACGAAGGGGTCAGAAATTTCAATCCAGACTTGTCCGAGGAGAAAGCTAGAGTTGCACGCTGTTGCTCCTAGTACTACGCGAGAGCGAGCTTACGAGACAGAGTGAATAAGCTGGCTCCGCGTTTTTGCTATGGCATTCGTGGTGTAGCGGTAACATTGGGTCTTCCCATGGCCTAGCTCCGGGTTCGACTCCCGGCGGATGCAGTACATGATGAACGATTTTCGCTTTTTTGCCCGCTTTTGTGCCTTCGTATGTACTGTCTTGGAGCCTATATGTATTGAACGCATGAAATGCTTCATGTCGAGCAAAGCGCAGCATAATTTTAAATCACCTACTCAGTTTGGTCCCTGCTTACGCGCGTCGTGGAAACGAAACGCCTTACTTGGACGTGCTGCACGTGCCGTTACAATCGATCGAAGTTTTAGTGTGCACTTCGTTTGGTTGCTTCGTTCCAGCTGCTCTTCCTTCGTTTCTTTCGCCAAAGAAACGCTCTCCTAGACTCACGAGGCCCACATCGTACCCTGAGCTACTGAGTTTCAGTTGACGCATAAGTTCTTTCATTTCCAAGTCGGCCGTTATATCCCTCGGTGGCTGATTACGATCGTCTTTTCGTGCTGTACAGCATGCAGTACCCGATTATGCTACGCCACGCCAAACCATTGATCTCTCTCTTGCTCCTTAGAATTCATCATAGAGAGCCTAGATTCTAGACTTGAATCGAAACTTTATCGGTCTTTACAGCCCCATACGCCGACAATGTCTCAGCAATGTCTCATTGCAGTCATACGTCGACAATGTCTCAGCGCATTCGTAAGTGTTCAGGTCCGCCGCCGCTCAACTTGACCCACACAAGTCTCACACTCAGCCGTTAGAACATAGCTGACGCTTGAGCAAGACTATAAAGACCCCCAGCGAACCGTCAATTTACTCAAACTCCT